GTTGTGGAAGGCCCGAAAGAAATGCAACTAGTGGTTTTCCCTCTTTCACACGAATCAGACATACGCCACAATGAGAACACATGAAGCATATTTTAACATCACAAGACATTCTCTGGGACTCTCAAATTATGCAAAATCGTGTAAAATCGAGACCAGACAAGATGCAAGAGACGATTAAGGCGAAATGTGGTCACCAACTATTGAGACATTTTAACTTTTGCAAACTTGCATATTGGTGCAAAATTGCTATCCTATTTTAAAATGATTAACCGAGTAAAAATGTATATTAGTCCGTTGTAAATGACGAAAAACATGGTCTATGTGGTGAATGGAGACTTTTTGACCCTACGGCAATTCATAAAGTTTAGATGCCCCTTTTCGCATTCATTCACCCGATGGTCTAGAAAAAATGCCAGAGTGAATGGGACCGGACGTTAGCAAAATGTAGGATGATAAATACAAATTAATCACGATGACGATCTCGAAGCTAGAGTATGCACTAACCGTTGTCAGGAGCACCGACACGTGTACAAACTAAGTGATTGTGGCTGGCAAGCAATTATGTCCAGTTCATCAGTGGACTGAATACACATGAGCGCGATATCATATGACTTAATTGAGCGACTAAGCAATCGATGATGGTGTATCAGAAGTAAGCCTATAATTAGGGACTCGACACTGTCGCCGTCCCCTTAACCGGACCCAGAATGATTAGTAAGTGTACATTTGTGGAATAAGATATGCACTCATACCAAGTTTCACAAAGTGATGAAGGCCTGATAGTATAGTTTAAAAACTGAATGAGCTTACGCAAAACGAAAGTTGAGCATAGTGATGCCTCTACAAGAGAACACAGACTGAGTCTAGAAAGTTGTGAGGACTGAAATAGTGAAAATCCAAATTACTGTAAGCTCTTGTTATGATCTGAAGCCAGTCACTAGAGCCTGGCAGCTGATCGGAAGTTTGTCGAACGAACGAACGAAATATAAGCATGGACGAGGCGAGCATAAGCTGATCGGTATGAAGAGAAATTAAGGAATCAGAGGGAACGAGAAATGCTTGATTCGCAAATCAGTGAAATGCAACGACGGATGGATAGTGAAATCTGAATAGCCCAAGCCAGAGAACGTTTGGCCCAGCATTCGCTGAGCTGAGTAAAGATGAAATTTGCATTTTCGAATTAGATACAAAAACTATCCACGACCGGACTTATTTCTAATTCAGTATGGAGAGTAAAATGATGATTTGGTGAAAACTGACAAGTCTCAAGAAGTGTGTAAAAGTTAGATCGATGTACACAGAAGCGAGAATAAAAAGAGCAAGGCTTGAAGGAGTGTAATTAATACTTTCGACCAATTACAATGACATAGCTGGGGACAAAAAGTTTAGGCAAAAACCATAAATAGCCATGTCCTTCGAGTGCGTCGGGTTGGCTTGTGCTGTGCAGAAAACACGTTGTGCAGAAAATATGTAAGACATTCAAAAAACGAGGAAGCAGCAGAAGTATTTACACGATATTTGACGCTTTTAGGAGAAGTGTGACTTTGGAGGAAGATCAGATTTCTAAAGATTAAGGAAAATAAGGATAGCCGAGAATTAATATAAAAATAAAAATAAAAATCTAAGTTAGCGTTTGCTCAGTTTGTCTAATAATTACCGCCAAAATTGATCAACCTTCAGTGGATGGGGAATCCAAAAATTGGAAATAACTGTATGATGCCTATAGTACGCGACTAAATAAAAAGTAGTATCTGAGTGATAATATAATGTACGCATGCGAAGACGAAAGCTAGAGTTAAGAATTCATGGTGTGATTAAATAAGATGTAGGGAAGCCGTTCGCTATGCGTCAGTGCAAACAATCCAAATTCAATAAGTGAAAACCGATTTTTACCATTGATTAGCAAAATGAAGTTGCTCACATACTCAGTTGGTGTACATGAATAGAGGACAAACTGACAAACAAGTCGTGCGCAAATAAAGGGCTGAGGAAACAATTTTGCAGCTAAAATGCAGAATTTCAATCATCTGACCTAATAAAAACAAGATTGAGTGTCGTCAGTGGAATATTGCATTAGGCAGATCTAAGCGATCTGAATAAAGGGTTGAGTCCCAAATTCACTACCAACTTAAGCCCTCCAAGGTCGCTTGAGTTGGCGTAGAGATCTATAACAATGAAATAGGTAGGCCTCGGATACCAATCAGATTCACGAGGCCTAATTATCAGTAATCTACGAGACCAAGGGCGACTGAAGTTGATGCTAAATATTTAATAAGAGATTCGAAACATACTCGGTACATTGCAATGTAGTCGAATATAATGCAAAGATAAGCTATTTTTCGTATTTAGGTAGTTTCGAGACAACCAGTAAATCACCCTGGATGGGAACAGCTTTTGGCAAAACAAGGCTATCAATGAGGTTGGCTAGTCCTAGCATCACCCTACAATTCATCATAGACAAGCAACTAAGTGTCTGTTGAACAGTTGTGATATCTCTCTTTGTATCCTGATACAATCACTTATCTCATATCCCATATCAGCGTATGGCACACTTTACAATCATAACTTTTAACTTACTTATTTCATTCTAATCCAAAGGCCTTTGCTATTGAGGAGATTTATTAAGGCCTATTCCCACCCCAATTACTTAATTCCTCCTTCATTGTGCTGCAAACGCTGATACAAATGGGCCCTTTCAGTCAGCGATTCTCTCTCTCGAGGTCCTATTAGTCTCCAACCTCTCCTGAGAGATCAGAATTTTATATCCCCAATTCAGTTATTTCATTTAATCTTTATGCTATTCGAAGCATTGCTTCCTATGGTCCACCCCAAGTTTGTGATAGTACGTATACTGTAGCTGCTTTAAGTAGTCCCCTAAGACATACATTTTCAGGCTGGATGAAAGACTAACTAAACATTGTTGAAAACGTATAAATGAAGACCGAGATTTTTTGTGGTCTCTATTTTGGTCGCAGTCTACTTGACGAGTTGTAGCTTGATGATGGGAATGGCAAGACTCATTGGAGATGCTGACACCGATGTCCAACTAAGTAGCCGTGACAACACAATCAAGTTACGAAAACGAGATCAGACCACTTCTTAATATCGCTTTTTATCCCAATATGACCTGCGTACTGAGCCAGTTCTATGATCAAATCCGTGTATTCTCATTGGTCTCAGTCTCAGCTCTAGAATAAATTTCTGGTCCCATGGCCTCGCGCTTCTATCCATAATGCCAAGTCTATGAATTTGCTATTCCCCAGTCGTGTTACCTTTCGGCCGATCTCATGTCCTTTCCGTAAAATGTACTCTGCTATTTTAGATTTTTCTGTATATATTTTTTTCTGCAGTCTGCTTTTCCTTAGCTCAGGCTCATTTTTCTTCCTGTCGCATTTTTTCTGTATACTTCTGCCCACAGTTGCTGCATGTTATCTGATAAACTCCCTAGCATTCTAGTTTATGCACCTTCTAGTGTTGCTTCGGCAAGCCAGTGAAGAGTGTTGTCTTCCCTTTCGTGATAGTTAAGTATTCTATTTTCTTAACTTGAGTCACCGTTTTTGACTTAGTTCACAAGAGGGCAAGTATACCAACTTTTGGTCGCATTTTTCATTCCTAATGTTATTTTCAAATTATTGATGGTGTAAGCAACTATTAATGAACCTTATAAATCATAGTATGACTTATCTGCAGTACCAGCTATTAGTGGTAATCCGAGTTAGTTTGATTAATTCTTTTTTAAGAACTCCATATCTGTTAGTCCTAAGGTTCTGATGATCAAGCTCATCATCATTCCGATATTCAGTCTGTAATTGTGATAAGACTGAAAATTGCGGGTGTGAATCTCTTGACTGGAATAAAACTAATGAATAGGAGAATGGAAGAAGGTAGAAATAGCGAAAACTTTGCATATTGCAAACTCTGAGATCGAGGAGCAGCAGGATTAGCAAAAAGGAGACGACTAAATCAGAAGTGATTTGAAAAGGAAGTAGAGGAATATCAAGAAAGAGGCTTTGGAGAGACAATCGGAAATTATGAGAAGACGTCTACAGTGAGCCAAGCCAGACCAAGTACATGGATGACACGGAGACCGAGGCAAAACCACCTTGTCTGAGGCCCTCTGTGGTAGTAGCCATGATAATTGTCGGAGTTGGGCCATGGACTTGGTAGACTCCCGGACGTTCCTCTGGCATCGTAGTCAGCATCGCCAGCCTTAGAACAAGAGTAAAACTCATAAGAGAGGAGCAAAGTCCATTCCGTGACAAATCGTCCACCGAAAAAATGTTGCATTCCCTCATATCTCATTCCTGTACGAAAATGCTTAGGGAAACTGTGACAGGGAAGGCATGGTAGAAGGAC